AAATTAATAAACGTTCCTTCTGGGCTATTCTAGGTAGAATTATGCAACCAATTATCAGTAAGGTATTTGTTGTAGGCATTTTTTGCGGCTGCGCAAAGCCCTCTGATTTGCATGCATTTTGTAGACCGCTAACCCGGGAGGTATTATCTTTGGCTAAGTCTGGTTTGCGAGTTTATGCACTTGACCGGACGCTCCAGTTCCGTCTAGCTGCTATAATTTGCGATGCACCAGCTAGGGCTTATGTGAAGCAAATAAAAAATGTTGGTGCCTATTATGGTTGTGAAAGGTGCAAGGTTAAGGGTGAGCACATAACTAAACTTGTTTATAATGAAGTGTCTGCGCCTCTCCGGACGAATGAAGAGTTCTTATCCGCGACCAATGATGTCGCAGTGGCATGCCACCGCATTGGCACTTCACCACTGCTTGCTTGTAAGATAGGAATGATAAGTGCATTTCCCCTTGACCCTTTGCATTTAGTTTACCTAGGCGTAATGCGCAGGCTTCTAGACTTGTGCCTTAAAAGCCCTAGGGAACAAGTTTTTAGGTTGTCAGATGCATCTGTGAGTATAGCAAATGATAGGTTAAAAGGTCTTAACGCGTACCTGCCGGGGCAATTTTCACAGCGTGCCAGGTCTACCAGTGATTATGAGAGGTGGAAGGGGACGGAACTGCGTCAGTTTCTGCTGTACACAGGTATAGTAGTCCTACGTGGGATGCTTCCAAAGAAATATTGGAAGCATTTCCTGCTATTGCTCGCAGCTATACGCTGTCTCGTTCGCCCACAATCGGCCGAAGGTTGGGTGCCGTACACTCAGACATTGTTGAAAATGTTTGTTGATAATTTCGCCAACCTATATGGTATAACCCAAATGGTGTACAATGTTCACAGCATTGTTCACCTACCGGAAGATGTGGCACGACATGGTCCGCTTGATAGCTTCTCCGCCTTCCCCTTTGAAAGTCATTTAGGGGAACTGAAAGAGATGCTTAGGAAACCGCCACAGCCACTACCGCAAGTAGTAAATAGATTAAGCGAGAGGCCGACAGAAGAGCGCGAGTTATTCGGCCCATCAGAATGGATTTGTAAGTATGAGCACAGAAAGGGTCCATTACTACCAACTGGTGGGTCGTTTACGCAATTAAAGTACATTCTAAAACGTAGGGTATACATCGGTATGACATCCGCGGATGGAGCAGTCTCAATCGATGATAACTTAGTTGGTGTTAGAAATTTTGTACGCTATTCATCCGGCGACATAGGGTTAGTGTACACCGAGTACGAGAACGTTGAGGACTATTTCGATTATCCTCAAAACTCGAAACATTTTAACATTTATAAAGCTCGGATGGGGACCGCAATCAAGACCTGTACATTACCGTCCTCCATCTGCAAGTACGCGTGCTTCCCCGTCGACGACTACTTCGTGCTTATTGAAATTAACGGACAATGGCACTACGATGACTGGTAGCAACGCATGTTTGTGTGGTTTTTCGTTGCCTCGCAAGGTAACTAGGTAATTTTGGTGACTGAGTCGGAGGGTAACTTTTCCTCAACTTTTTGGCAATTGGTTCTGGTTCATTGTACATCTCGCCTTTTATCGGTCGCTATCCACGAATCCTACAACCCAACAGTCCCACAGCTATTGATTCGTGTGTAGCGAAGAGAGACAGTTAAGTATAAAAATGGCTTAAACTCCCCTAACTCTTACATTTCCTGTTGGGTTGTAGCCTACTATGTCCGACAGTCAAAGGACCAATAACAGCCAGCGTCCTAGACGGATATTAAGGGACCCGCTGGATGAAGACATTTACGCAAGGAGCACACCCTCGCTTACTTCAGCTTCGGTATGGTTGACCGTTATACACTTTCATTCACTTTTAGGAACCTGCTGCCTCCCACAGTGACACCAGCGTCACGATGCCCATTGCCACGTCGCCAACCCATGCAGGTAATAATGGACACATTTAACTTGTTCTACCTAGGCAACAGCATGCAGCAGATTCACCAAACACGCAGAGTCTCCAGGAGGGCTTTATCCACTGCTATGTCGTCTGCCCACGCAGGTAATATTGGACACATTTAACTTGTTCTTCTTAGGCAGCAACATCGAGCGGATAAATCACCAACACAGTGACTCCAGGAGTCATTTGCTCAGCGATAGGTCGCCTTCACATGCGGGTAATAATGGACACATTTAACATATTTGTCCTAGGCAGTGGTAATGATTGCCCTCCTCGAACACGCCCGCATAGGGCAACTGGTCAAGCATCGAATAATCAAAATTCTGCCCTTGATTGGATAATGGGTAGCCTTTGGGGGTTAACGCGCAGTGTGGCGGAAGTAAAGCGCCGCCAAGAGGAGGTTGCCCAGAAGCAAGTTCGGTTGACGCGTAGCGTGAACAGGATGGACAGAAGATTTAATCTTTTGTCGGAAAGGCTTGATGCGGCCGCGGGCACTGCAATTTCTGATCCAACATCCACTACAAATACGGGACCCATGTACCAACACATGCGAACCGTAGGTGAGGTGGATGAGTTCACAACCGCTCTACTGGACCCGTCGCTTAGACAGCAGGTGGTAAGTCTCCAGTTACATTATATTTTGTCCACAAGATAACACACCTGACCGCTTTCGGTGGTGATACGGTCAGCACGTTTGCTGATCGGATTTTTGGTGGCCTATTCGCTGATGAAATTACTTATCAGATGACATTTTACCGCCGCCACCAAGTCAAAAGAGGCTTCTTCGACTCCAGCCTATTCAAGATTGTCCTCGGTAAGCCAAGCATAATATGTTCTTATACAGTATTCAACGCAGAGGCCATAAAACAGATGGAACGTGAATCAGAGGTTAAACTGCCAAACGTTTTACGATACCGCGATGTTAAAATTCCGAAGAGCATACGATCGCTTGAAAAGGCGAGAGAGAAATGCTTTGTCTTCCGCTGCTGTAGCAGGCAAAAAGCTTTCACTAATTGTCATGAGCTACTTAATTTACAAATTCTTCTAGCCTAGGGTCGAGCATGACCTACACGTACGTACAATAAAACTAAATTGCTAACTTAATCTGTAATTACAGATTTAGTTAACAATTTGGTTTTATTGTAGAGTGGTTGTTGGGGTTACGTAGCTATGAAACGATATTATTTACCCTCTATTACAAGCCAAGTTAGTTTAAGTGGACGAAGCTGCCCAAGTCGGGCGTTTTTGTTAACAAACACAATGTTCCTTACGTAAGGCGCATTGCGTAACATCATCTTCTTCTGTTACCCCAGCATTGATTATCGTTATCTTTAACTTTAGACGAAGATCTCCAATCAGGCCCATCAACGCAACCATGAAACGGTCCATTAATATAGCCTTTATTTTAGAGAGACACTCCCTTATACGTACTTAACCAAGATTTATTATCGCTATTATTTGTACATTTCTGCAGGTTACTATTTTTATTGAAGTAAAAATTTGCATACGTAAAACGCTTCATTGAGTTACTTTTCTTCCGTGATTATAGTAGTAGGTGGAGGGGGAAAAGGATCGGGCCTAGGATCGGTGCCGAGAAATTCGAATGCCGTTTGTCAATCGAGCCAACCCCTGC